GATGAGGCTGATTGAGAGCAGTTGTCCTGGCCACCCATTTCATGGCTCTGGGTATGATGACAGTGCTGTGATGACAACATGCAACCTACTGCTCCATGTTTTGGGATGAGGGAGAGAGGCTCCACATGCATTACTCCTTCACATGGCATTGACTCAGTTGTGCAGCCCATGACATCCAGAAGCAGGGTTTGATGCCTCAAGCAAGATAGTACATAGTCAGTACTTACCTCCTGACCAGTCACTGGCTCCAGACTGAATGCAAGTCTGTGCAGAATATACACCTGGTGAGTGTACGTGCTTGTATGAGTCAAGTGAATCATCCAGTACAGATCCCATCCTGAACTTTTGCCATAACGGTTATTTGCAAATCACATTTGAATTAACAGGATCATTATTTTTATTCATTCGAATCTGGACAGGGGAAAACAAAAATCAGGAATATCTGCTCTATAAAGTAGCCTGTGATTGCGTCAACTGGTCTAGTTCATTAATTCCCCTTCATAAAGTAAAATAAATACTTCTAAAAAAACGAGTTTAAAAAACACACTAAAACTATGCCTGTCCCTCAAAAGGGCTGCTGAGCAGAGAGATGTTATCTCCTGATAAGAATAATAAAATTGACTGAACAGAGTTCAGCTTGAATCAAGAGAGTAGGGATTATAGTGCTAAGGAGAAACCAGTCACAAGAGCAGATACTTCTTCACCCACTCTGAACAGTACCTGTAACGGATGGGAAACGCAGCGCACTTCTGGTTGCAACATGGGGCCTCTCCTGATTCATTCTTCAGTCCAGGAAAATGAGTTGAAAACATGCTAAAGCAATGCTATTTTAATTTTTTTATTTATGCAAAACTAGCAACTTTGATAAACACACTTCAGAGACCCAGAGCAGTTCAGGATGCCTACTCAGGTGAGGATACTGCATTTCTATAACCACCACCATCTTATCAGCCCAAAGCAGTGAAGATTTCACCTTTTAACGGGGTCTTGCAACAAGCATTTGAGCTATGGATAAATGGTATTTCTTGGTTACAAAGACAGGAGCGGATCCTGCTTTACCACAAAGTACTTTTCACGCTACACCCTTAAGTACAAAAGCAAACATTATGAATGCAACATCAGCATTTGAAATCTTGTTGGCCAGCACCTCCCTCAGATGGACAAAAGTGATTAGTTTACTTTCACAAGTCACTTAAGCAACTTTTCTGCCTTACATTTTCAATTTCTCTATCCTTAGGGTATTAGGGTGTGGTTCCTAGTTGTACAAATATACTCATTTACAGACTAGGAAGGAGTTAACTAACTAATAACAGAAAAATTATTAAAACTTTTCAAAAGAGACTTCATAGCAAAGAGTCATGACAATCCTGAAAACACCAGTGTATCAAACTGCCAGTCCAGCCTATGCAGAGCTACTCTCTGATGTTTCTTCCACCTCCATCCTACCTCTTTCCTCCTGAAAGGCATTGGCAAGGTCCGAGTGGCACTGGAATAAAACCTGGGAGTAATCTGAGGAAGGAGCAATTTGACACACTTGGAACATTTCTTAGTTTATCACAATACTCCTGCCTATGCCTCCTCCAGATGAAGAGATGAGTAGCTTAACAGGGCAGGGCTGCTTCTTCTGGCATATTTGAGGAGTCTAAGAGATATCAAGAGTAAGAAATACTGTCTGCAAAATAACCCAGGAAGTGGGACTTACTTCCAGGTTCCTTAGCCAGGGCCTGTTTCTGAAATATCAACTGAACTTATCCCAAGGTCTGGTGTACACAGCCCCAGTTGGATATGCCATTTATTTCTTCCAAGGACAGGAATCCAGGAGGTGTTTCCACCCCTTTAGGTTTATTATATTCTATCGGATTTAGAACTGAGCTTAAAACCTCAGTTTCTTTTCTATCTGCTCCCAAATCTGGGTCACAGACCTGAGAACATTTCAGTACAATCTGCTTACCTGCAGAAACCTGACCATTGTGCAAAAAAAAAGCATTAAAACACATGTAACAGGCATCCCTAATAGAAGTGGTTGCATTCTCAGAGCCACTATTCTTTTAGTAATTCAGTTTCACTAAACATCTGAGAGATTCTCATTATATATCGGGCCTGAGGTCCTTCATCCAAAGTACAAAATGTCTTCTTAATTCACTACTCCATTTAATATTTGATCTCTCAAGTGCCAGAAGTCCTTGCCCACTATATGCAATTTATATTTTCGATCCATTCCCCCTTCCCTCTCACCTAACATCCTGCCCTTCAAAAAGCAGAGAGTAACCTTAATGCACATACACCCAACTTCTGCCTAACCTGATACTTAAAACTTTTGAGGTCACAAGTTATGGCTTCCACACGTTCCTAAATACCTGTACATTTCTTTCAAACAAACTGGAAGGAGGATGTTTCTACAAATTCAGTCAGTCCTCTCCATCCTAGAAGTATTTTGGCAGCCTGGTTCAAGTTTTTACCACCCCTAAAATTCATAAAATAGTCCATGTCTAATCTGCAAATGAATAAGCCTGGCTTTAGACATCATTTTCCGCTTGGGACTCTCCATGTTGCTTTACCAAGGAGGAACAGATATTTATCTCATTTAATGTATGATGGAGACAAATACATTCACAATCCATAGCAAAGTCAGTAATGACTCCTACAGATAACTCTTGGAAGTCTATCCACTAACTTAGCTAGTGGAAGATCACCCTTAGGTACCTAACAATTTCCATGTGAGGAAAAGTTACACAAATATCACTTTATCTGGTTCTTCACAAAAACAAGCCACTCCAGAAACTTTAACAAACAAAAGAAAAACATTTTGCATATTGCATTACTAAGTAACAACTGCATTTTTTAAATGGGCTACCCATGCTTCGAGAAGTTTGGTCAACAAGACTTTGTTAGTTACTATAAAATACATTTCTGTATAGAAAAGTAACAAACTGTCTTTCCAGAAATATAGAGAAATTCAATAGAACTGGTATGATATTATATCAGCAACTTTTTTTATTTCCAACACCATTCACTTTCTTTTCCTGGGGTCTTAGCCAAACCACATGGAATTTGTTTTAGAAAAAGGATCTCTGTCTAGCAGATATAATCTCAACAGTTTCTAATGTCTGGCAAGTTAAGATGGGCATATTGACATTAGTAAGTCTTTTAAAAAGTACTGAAGACAGCAATTAATTGTTGAAACAACTTTCTAAGAATGATAATGGCTACCTCAATCACTGGAAACTTTCAGCTAAAGCTGCTCCTTACTAAGTAGTAATTACATTAATGGAATTTCTGCGGTTGTCTTTATGAGTAGATTAAAATAGATTATCTGAATTTATTTATCCCCAGACTGGGATGTCAATCTCCAGAGTTTATTGGCCTTTAAAGGAATGTGGTAAAGATATGATTATATTAATTTATCCTATATCTTGAAAGCTCTTACCAAAACAGCTTAAACAGCATGTCCAGTTTTCATCTTTGTAGAATGAGGCCCCCGAAAATGTATACAAAACTAACCACTTGATTGGGGAAGGAAAAACGGTTCAGACAAAGCAGCCATTCTGAAATGTTTAAAATAATTTTATTAAACAATCGTGTTTTACATGTCATCAGACCTAACCCCTGAAGTGCAAAAAATGTTTCTGAGGTATTAAGACTGGAGGAAAACAGGCACAGTATTGGTTGTTAGGGATACCGCCCTACAGCACAGTGGAATTTGCAAACAACAGGCCTTTATACAGCATGTGCAGGATCAGAGAAAACTGAGAACAAGTCTGTATTTGTCTTTAGTCTTGAGAGCCAAAAAGCCCTGATCAATAGCCAGCTCTGTCGCAAGAGTGAAAACACAGACATGGTTAACACAGGATGATGATAAATATCAATGAGGTGTTTCTAGGCCAATATGTACAGTACATGAAAAACGAAATTTGACTGCTGTATGCATGACCAACATCCCAACTGTCTATCCAGTCCAGCTTAATATGTTGTGTCTACAGCGGCCTCTCTAGTACCAGCATTTTTCTCTATTCTACACAGCTAAGCCACTGCTCTGTGCTCCTATTTGAGGGCACCTGGTCACCTCACACTCACTTCAGGTAAGTCTGATGTTTATCAGATTGACTAGAGTCAAGAGTACAGTACTGCTTTTGTAGCCTGTTATCCTTCTAGTTGCCCTCTCCCCCTCATCCATGCAGTGAAGCCTAACCCATGTAGAAAATCTGCTAAAGAAATCTGCTAAAGCACTGATTGATGACTCTTCATGTAGAAAGGAAAGCCTTATCTGGGATTTGAAAAATTCATGGGGCAAAACTTGCCCTTACAAATTAGGATATTAGTGAGAGTTTTATTCAACTGCCAGATTGTTCTCGAAAAATAATTTTCTGTGAGGAAAGGTTTGGCAATACTTGTTTGTATTAGCTTGCCTATTCAGGGAGTCAGGAGGGTGAGGAATACTCTTCCCCTTGGAGCAGTTTCCTGGGTTAGAATTTGACTGAAGTCTGCACATGTGGTAATTCTGTGCAAAATGAACTTCCTGATGAACATTAGATTTAAAGCTCTCAGTGATTCTCAGCTCAGTGGTTTTGCTAGAAAAAGTTTTTTTCACCTCAAGAGTTGCAGCGTCGTTCTCTGGGACCAACTGCAGTTTGCCCTAAACAATTTGACTCCAAGATAACCAGCCAAATGTTGTCCTTCACATGATTCCACCACAATTCAATGGAAGACACATCTAACAAAACATTTCCAAATTACTAATAAGTAAAAGCTCCTTGTTCTGAGTCCCTCTGGGGTTGTTTTTAGCTAAGATAGCTAAAAACAAGTTCCTCCTGGGACACACTTGTTTTTTTAAATTTGTGAAAAATATAAAGACAAAAGGGAAGTGATCTGTATCTTAATAGGTGTTTATGAACTTATGACTTTTCCTGAATGTGTCAGGTTTTGTATAAAAATTGTATACTTTGGTATACTTGGAAAGGTTCTCATCTTCAGCTTTGAGACTTTACTGAGAAGACGAAGACATGAGCTCTATTGTCAGCACACTCATGGGCATAATGTCATGCAGTCTGATTGCAAACACAATTGAGATTCTCATCATTTTCTAGGCTTCTTACCAATATCACTGCCACTTACCTACACAACACCTAGCAAATCTAAAAATACATAATAACTGGAATAGAAGCTGGATACCACTGGAGTGTTGCCTTAATATTACTTTTTAATGGAATCATATTTCACAGACAAGAAAGGCAACCCCAAAGAAAAAGTGCAAATAAATCATCACTTTCAGTTGAAAACTGGGTTTCGGATGCCACTCAGGACTGAACTGCTGGGCCAATTCCTGTGCAGAAGAGTTAGAGAACATACAAAAAAGAAAATGCTTGATATTCCTAGGACGACAATGCCTGAAATCAGCGCACTGGTGACTGAGTTCATCTGGAAAGGAGGTCCATTTGGATGAGCTGCAATGAGAAGAAAAATGCTGAGGTAAGATCTGGTCATAATCTCTCAGACGTGCCAAATACTTCTGTCTTCCTGTTAGACTACTCTATATACAGTATAATTGCAGTGGAGGGACTAAAACTGTAGCTCAGAATGAGCACCTGTCTACTTGGATAAAGCTTATCTAAGTATATGTTGAAAAGAGTTATTAGTTCTTTAAATATCAATCATGCTGGGGGATAAAGATATATGCCTTCTAAGGCATAATCTCTCATGTGCTAGTGACCAACCTTGACCTGTGCTACTTAAGGCAAGACTCTCATTGTCCAAGAACTATCAAGGCAGAGGCATAAGGATTTGTGGCCTAATCAAGTTAATGAAAGGATTTCTTCCACACTATCATTAACTACATGTCAATTCAAAGCGTATATAAATTCTTAGCAGGTGTATCTCGCACCAGATAGCAGACCTCTCTAAGTTTGTCTCTACACCTTCACAGAGGGCTTCTTAATGTGTTTCTCAATTCTCAGGTAGAAGAGGTAACATATTTACAACTTATTGCAGTTCAACACTCTGTTCACGGACCAATTCTGAGCTACCAAACTACACACATCCAGCCTGTATTGTCTTTTCCAGCAGGAGGGTGAAAAAAGCATTTTAGTAGTAGGTAGCAGCCAAAGTACCAACGTGGGTTTGCCATCGCCAGTGCTGGACAGTGAGGTGAAATGACAACACAGCTTTTGTGTGAGAAACCAGACTGCTCCTCCCAGAAGCAGCCACCTGCCCTCAACACCAGTGATCTCTCCCTCCTCACCAAAGCAGAAAAAAAAATCAGCACTGTTGATCAGGTTTCCCTCCCTTCTCAACACTGTGCTGCCTTCTGTCTGCTACAGTAGTAATCTCACCTCACTCTACCTCTATGCTCTCCTTTGGGACAGCAACAGGCAAAGGAAAGGCTGTTGCTCTGGGATAAAGAGGGCTGCTGCTTTCATTGCATGGAAAGGACAGGTAGCAGCCATTAACACAGCAAACTGTGTGCAGCAAATAAAAAAATCTGCTTTTTATTATTTTAATTATATCCATGAGTAGGAACACACCAGGGAGAAATTAATTACAGGGAGAACTTTGTTTCCTTGACAGGCAAGAAAGGTAGTTGCCTTTATATGTTCTAAGCTGAGAAAAGAAAGGAACAAATAATATTAGAGTTCAGAGGACAGGATAGATTCCTTGTTCTCCTCAGTCCTTTTATGAAGGAGTATGAGGTGGAGTGGCCCAATGTACCATCTGGTTACCCTAACTATCCTTTCTTAGTCATTAGCTACTCCTTGTTACCAGTAGAGAACAGTAACAGAGAGGCTGAAACAAGTCCTCCAAGTGCCCAAAGGAGAAGCACCCTAAAACTTAGAGAGCTAATCTCCCTTGCAGCCTATTTGCTTCACTGCCCTAGTCATCAATTTCTATCCAAGCTTCTCCATAGGTTCTTTGTGTGGTTAAAAGTCGGGAGAACAGGAACTGCAACTCTGATTTTCTAGCTTAGAGCTGTGAACTGAGCTGGACTGCACTATAATAACCATTTTCCTGCTTTACTCCTGTATGGCATGAGCAAATTTTATTGCTAAAGTCTGATTTTGCACCTGGTGGTTATAGTGTTCCCTCACTCGTGACATAGCAGCATATCTTCATTTCAGTTTCATCATAGGATCAGAAGTTTCTACGTTGATGGAGCTGGACACACAAATTAAACTGAGAATTCCAGACTTATCAATTGTTTTCTTTTCAGTATGTTGGTATTGACTCATTTAAATCACACACACACACACACAAAAAAAAAAAAAAAAAAAACAGAAAGAAGGAAAAAAAAAGCCATTGTATAGATATCAATCAAAATCATTCATTTCCTCAGTTCTGTTTCACTCATAACCCTCTTTCATGTTTCTTGGAATTCTGATTAACTTACCGAGCTCTGAATTGTTGGTTGGTGTCTCATCTATATATAAAAAAGACATATGTTATATTTTTAAAATACCTCTGCCTATCTCCTCCCCCCTTGCAACACAAAATACAATAGTCCTCATTTCATTTTAAGAGTACATCAGCTCTGCTTGTCCTATTGACTAGGAGCTTTAAGCATCTCTGTTAGAATACAGACAATAACAATAATTACACAACTTTGCTTCATTTTTAATGTCAGCACAACAATATGAAGCTACTTAATATTCTGTGGAAAAACAAACCAACACCACCTTAATGTAGGAATCTCTTAACTGAAAATGTGGAAAGTCTATTCTGCCCTTCAACAAAAATACAACTCTAAACACAATATTATACACAAGTCCCTTCACTGTTAATCATATTATAAAGTATCTCTATAGGAAAAAAATTACCTGATGTTCGACAAGGAAAAATATATCAGTGACCATAAATTATTACAAAAATGCCCTTTCTGCTTGCTCATTTTTCTCTTGACAGTTATACAGGGGCATTATATCCAGGGAAACATTCGTATTTCGTCTCCAGTTTTTACTTACTTGCCATTGTCCCTTTCAGAATCACATTTCTTGTCAACATTTTTGGGGGGGTTTGCACAATTTGTAAGCATAGTTCACATATACATTTGTTTTGAGCAGCTGTCTCCTAAATTTAACTGAGACATCCATCAAAAGCTACATAATTTCAACTTCACAAGTAGGTACCTGCTTTGCTTCCATACAGAGACTAAAACATTTTCTTTCATGCATGCCTCCTGTAATGACTTATTTTAGATTAACAAAAAACAATAACATTTCTCTGAAAAGAACAAAATGTTAGAAATATGAGTTCAGAGCTACACAGGAGGAGGACCATTACTCATTTGCAGTGGCTCTATTCAGTTCCTACAAAGGCAGCTTCATAAACAGCTCTGTTGCCAGAACAACTGGTGACTGGAGTAATGGGGAGACCTGGCTCACTTGAGAGGCCTCTGAGGGTGACAATATGCACAGGGCCCAGCCCCAGGACAGATGCAGCACCATCCTAAAGGAGGGAAGTGAGGGGCTGCACATCCGTGCCACTGCAGTCCTAATACTGGCAAATGTACTGTGGTGAGTTGGGTGCAGCAGGTTTGATGGGCTCTGTATCTTTGCTAAAGCTGGGCCAGAGTTGGTTTTGAAAATAGTGCAGCATCACACCAGAGTAAGCTAGTACTTCACCCTGGCCCTCCTCATCCAAACCCAGATAGTTTTGTTTAAGTTCCCTCATGATCTTCCCTCTTTTATCTTGTTAACTATAGTATACATGAGCCTCATGTTTTTTATGTGCTTATTTTCCCAATGAGAAGAGACAGTAAAACTAATTCCCTTTCTGCTCCAGAAGGAAAAGTGAGGTGTGAGTCAGATTGAGGGACTTGTCCAATGCCACTCCTGAAATTCATGGCTGAGTTCTAAACTGAATCCCATTTTCTTTTGGAGTACTTAACATTAAACTATCCTTCTGTCACAGTAGCAGAAGGATGCTCCAGAAGCATACTACAAAGATGGATAAATATTTCTAATCTAAAAAGTTTTACCCACATATCTCAAGTAGAAGACACTGAAAAAATTATTTTCCTTTTTCAGCCTTATTGATGTTTTCATTTAAAAAACGTCAACAGTTGTCATGAAATTATAAAATTGTTTATCATTTCTTCGGGACCATAAAACACACATGGACAGACCACTTTGCTTGAAGCAATGCAATATTTAAAGGAAAATGATAAATATATCTTTTTTTTAATTGTAAAAATAGCATTCACAGCATTTGAATCATAAGCTATATTACCTAACAGGGGTTGCTCATATAACAAGCTGTATCTAGTTTCCATTACTTGCCTAAGGCAGCAATACTCTAACATGCATGTTTGTCTGAGCAGATCTGTCATTCATTTCCCATAAGTACTCATGTATGCAACTTTGAAGTTAGTTCTCACTTTTTCTTGACTAATCAGATAGTAGCAACTCAATTGGGACCATGTATAATGCAAAAAAATTAATCATTTTCATTGCAGAGATTTTGCTCATAACAGTGTATTTTTTCCAAAAATGGTCTCTTGTTAGATGATTCCCCATTCTGGAGGGTCAGTTCTCTCTGTATATGTGGGTACAACCACTTTGCATGAAAAGAAGGATTTTATTCCCAAGGGTTTAAATTATTTTTCCTAGATCGGATTCAGTCCTACTCTCATCTCCCTAAGTCCAAGACTGCTGAAATCAGTTGCTTAACTGCAACTACTTGTAAATAGCAGTGATTTCTTAAACTTTTTGAAATACTTTATTTCTATTATTTAGTCAACAGCAGTCACACATTCTGTTCAGAAACTGCAGGTTACAGTTAGAGCATTTAGAGCTGCTTTTTTTCTTTTAAAAACTTTGGCAATAAAAATGGAAACCATGGAATTTCGGCCTCAAATTAAAGCAGTGCCCCCTCTGTTTAAAATTTGCAATGTGTTTGTCCTATTTCTTTCTTATAGATGAAGGTTAGGCATAGCATGTATTAGTTTTAGGCAACACTTAGATAAAAACCCAGAGGGAAGCGGGAAGATACGGTGAATACAAAGTGACAGTGAATATTCATTAACCGTCCAAATTAAATTGCAACACTGAACACAGTACCTTAAATTCCATTATCTACAGTGAAATCTGACCAAAAAAAAAAGTCAACCCAGTGAGTTTGAACTTATTATAATGGCCTTATATGTATAACAGTATCCCACAGTGATTTTACTGGAGTAGGAAGCATGTGAGAGCCATACAAATATTAGCTCAAAATTTCTACTAAAGACCCCAACAGAAGGGAAAAAATACTCAGCAAATTCACAGAGAATTCATCCTTTCTCTGAACCACCGCAAATTTATATTAAATTACTATTTCCCCAGGTTTCTGAAATTCCTGCAGTCCATAGAAAAAGATTGTTCATTCCTACCACTCCTTGTAATGATGGGGCCAGCAGAGATTACAGCATTGCCAGATGTGCTCTGAGGGCTCCAAGTTGTCCTCCCATCAGCATCTCTCTTTTCTCTGTTACTGCAAATCTGAGTGGTCAATCAAAACAGTCACAGATTCAGAGTGGAACAGAATTATGGTCCTTCTGTGCTTCCTGTTTTAATGTAAACTCTTTGATAAGTAATACTACAACTTTATTTCTTAATATGCTTTATATTATTTTGCAATAAAAACACCTGTAATATTTCCTAGAACTGTATCTTATAAATGCCTGGCTTCCCATTGTATTTTGCCTTACTTTGTTTACAAAACTACATCACCGTTGTGCACAAGATCCATCTTATAGTATATTGAATTTTCAGTAGTTAATTTCCCAAAGCTATGTTTACAGTTTCCCCCAACAAATCTGTTTTGCTTGACAATCCCTACTCTAGCAAGATTCTCAAGTGAGAATGTCCACATTTGGAGTTCTGAATAGCAAAGACTCACACTAAAACAATCCTCAGCACTCTCACCTGGAATCTACCTTTAACACCTGTAACTTATCATCTACCTTGAGCATCTTGGGTACTCGAGTATGCTTTGACTAAGAGCATTTCTTTAATGCGAAAGAACATGTTTCTTGTGAAAGAACTTCAAAAACCTCAGAACATAAATTGAATACAAAACGAATTATGTAAAAGCGTAACATAAAAATATAAAATAATGTATAAAATTTCAGGAGTATACTGAACAGGTAGCACTTCAAAATTCTAAATGAGAAGTCATTCAATAGGAAATGCTGCATTCTGAAGATATCACAGAACATTCTGTGTTTATATATTTATTTAAATGTCTCAATTTCCAAAATGTATTTGTTGTTCCTGACACTCGTAAAATCAGACGATTTTGAATTGACATAACTTCATGAACTTCAATGAAACAGTAGTTTCAAAACTATAATGGAGGTGATAATAAACTATATGAGGCATAGGATTTCATCACTATGATGTTCTCATACTTCATCATCACTATGATGAACTCATACAAATTTTCCCTGTCAGTATAACAGCACTTCCTACACCTTTAAGTTTTCTGTAAATTCTATTCTAAGGCATTTCTATTCATCCACTGTGATTATGAATACCTTGCTGCTATTCTAAGAATATCAGCTCTAAAGCTGTCTGGGAGTTGTAACTTTTAAAAATTAAGGACCACAAGGTGAAAAGGTCATTTCTCATGTGTTCAACAATCTATGCTTTGCAGGTCTAGTATTATTTTATTTCCAGATGAGAATATTAATTTCCATATTCTTCATTAGTTGTTTCACATTCCTTCAGACACAAAAAACATTCTTAATTCAGTCCCCTGCAAGTCACCTTCATTCTGTGCCATCCAAACTTCCATGACATTTGCATGCAGAAGAACTCCAGTGCCTATTTTATAGCCAGATAATTAACAACAACTTCTGTCCGCTAAAACTTACTGGCACAAGAAAGGGGCAGTCATCTGCTCTGCACAACTTTGTCACGCAGTGAAGGAAGACCGTTGACATCTTCTGGTTCTTGTGTTTCACAAAGCGAAACACCTCAAAGGAAAACCGGCCCATTTGACTCTTGCCATTTTCAATTATCGTTGTCTGTGGGTCCTTGTCACAGCTGGTTTTTGCAGAGAAGAGTAAAACTAGGATGAGCAACTCTTAGTATTTTGAAGCTTTTAGATAAGAATAACCCAAGCAGCAAGTTCAATGTTTCAGTTCCTTGGAAAAGAACACAGTGCAACATGGGCAGACACAATCTGTTTGTCAGGCTGCACAGTCCTGTGCTGAAACGCATTCCTACAAAAGCACCACACTTTGTTTTGCAACACCACAGCTATAACCAAGGTACCATTTAATTCCAGTGCCCAAAGAAACTTGAGACCTGAAGCAAAAAGCAATCAGGTATGCTAACCAGTATAGACAGGTAACTCCAAATGAAGACAGTATCTCTCCAACAACTGTCACAGATAAAATTTTATCCGAGATACTGCCAAGATTTTTTTTGAAGTTCCAATTCAAATAAATGTTATTACTTGAAGTAGAAGCAGGAGAATCTATTTATATTTAATCATTTCCTTAACTACCTTCCTGGTCTGGAGTCTATGGTGTTTTATATCGCTGTCATTCACCACATTTACCTTTGGTTAAATAAAGGCCTAGTAGAGCTATTTTGGATATATGGTTTTCTACCTCCATAATTCTTACAGCTTTGTATTTGCTTCCATGTTTATGTTCACACACAAGATTAAGTTCTGACATGTTATCTATAAGCCTATCCCTTGGTCCTCCCTGGTAATAATGCTTAAACTTTCCAGGCAGTTTAGGGCACTACTACTGGAGAGATTTGTAATTTTTTTTCTAAGGAAGGACAACAAAATACTGGGTTTACGCAGGACCTACCTTAAAAAAAGATCATATCGAAGATCATCGTTAGGATTACCAGATGGAGTGGTGTAACAGTAGTCCATCAAAACATTCCACCTGCACAGGGAGTAAAGTGATGAGGGGAATTGGCAAGAGAAGAGAGGGGCGGAGAGTGAGCGAGGTAAGTAAAAGACAGACAGGAAAGCATATAAACTGATAATGTAGGCTGTTACATAGACCCTGAATTATTGTATTTAACAGGTCACATACAACTCATTCTGTTTCTTGATACTGCTTAAAATACTAAACAGCACAGCACATCAGTAGAATTGTATAAATCATATTATTTGGTTTTATGCAAGTCAACCACCATACCAACACGCTTGGTACGCCTCCTCTCATAAGCTATGGCCACATAAGACTAGAATTGAAAACAATCCACTTTCAAAAGCTCTGGATTTTCTCACTTGGTCAAACAGAGGCCTTTCCTTAAATATAACCAATATAAGAATTAAAGTATAATACAGGAAAACTTTCATAATGAGAACCTCAGCAAAACATGCATTCACCATCAAGAACCTGATACCCTCTGAGGGAGGGCAGGGATTATTGAACATCAATCATTATTTTGACACATAAAAGAGCTATGAGGAAAGATAGATGCTTCTAAATCAGAAAAATTTGCAATACTAAGAGCTGAATAGCAAGGAAGACAAGAAATAACATTCTTTATGGTACCTTCCATCAAGGTTGGTTGCTCTTACAGCTGCATATATTTTGGTTTTCAAAGGTAAACCTGTACTTGGAATAAGGAGCTGCTGGCTGTATGTTGAATCCTGAAAAACAAACATTGCCTCACTGTAGCAGAAATTCCACTGTAACAATCCACCTGCATCCACAGACTGAACTCTCATCTGATTTTTCTGACCTTTCTATGTAGGATGATCATTCACTTTGTCCTCTGTAAAGGAAGAAAAAGCAGTGCCAGCGTATTTGCCTACAAGTTTGTCTATGAAGATGAAAAACATTTGACAGGTCTCTTTCTATGCAACTATTTGGGAGAATTTGTTTATGATTTAATGAAGTGGTTGGATTAGTGATTAAAGAAAAGGTACCATTCATTGACACTCCAGTAAGTCTCCCAGGGCCTACAGGCAAATACAGCAGCTACTGCGGTTTCCTGAAGGAGGAGCTTAACTGGGTGGTCACAGTGTACCCTTTCCCAGGAAACGTTAAGGCTATGTGAACTAGTGGAGATAGCAATGTCACCAGGTTTTATATATCTTAAGATACAGTCCAGGAGAACAGACACATTTTGTTATACAAAATGTAGTTTCCGTGGAAGCTGGTTTATTGAAGACTACAAGTAACAAATATTTTCATTTAAATTCTAGTATTTCAAAAGAACTGTTTCAAGAAAGCTGTATTCAACATGAAAGCTGGGAATTCCCCATATACTACTACATAGATATAGTTGTTTTATTAGTTTCTTGTTGAAAAGTCTGAACCATTAATGTCACTTTAGCAACAAAGCCATGAAACAGATCTGTGTGACAGGTGTTAAATCAGCATATCAAAATGCACTTACTGGTAACATCACCTATGTCAAATAGGTTGCTAATGCCAATAGCACAGGCATTCAGCATGTTGAGACCTCTTGTGAGGGGTCAAAACACTCAATGTGCATGAAAAAATTTGTTAAAGAGTATTTTGACCAGGTTCCGTGTGGCAAGCAAGACCATGGCAAGCAGTAGTTTACAGCAACAATAAGGTTTAAGTACAAAGCTCAAGTGATTCTTTTCAAAGGTAACAATGCCAAAATTCACAGCATGCCCAATATCCAAACTCTGCAGCACTGGAGGCCATGAGAGGTACACATGCAAGGAAAGACCAGCTCAGATATGCACAGAGCAAGTCCTTGGAGATCCACTCAAGTGAAATCAGATAGGTTTGCCTTCTTTCAAATTAATTTTACATTTCTATAACACATAGCTCTGCCACATTTTGCAACTCATTAAAGAGTGCAAGGCCCTACTATTGCATTACATAGTAGTTCTTTTATTCTTAAAGAGTATTTTTTACTCATTTAGACAGATATTTCCAAGAAGCCATAAAAGCATATAGCCACTTAGGGTCTGTGAGAGCCCATTAAACATTTTGCTGTTAAGCTCTGAGTCTATCATAAGGGTTACTCTTTTCTTTCCTAACAATGACATGTACTAACATCACAAGGTAAATGTAAATAACATCTTGTGAGGGAAGATAGAGTTGAGTTGAGAAGATTAACAGTCAATCTTAAGAAATAACACTACAGCTAAAGTTTGAAAGTATGCCTGCTTGCAGCCTAGAGATGCCTCAGTACACAACCCCTCATCAATATTAAGAGTGGACACAAGTCTTGAGGCCCCTCCCAAAGCCAGAACTTCTAACAGGGACCAAGCGAACCCACAAGACATTAAGTGTCCAAAGAACTGGGCAAAATGCAGGCAATGCACAAGCTGTCCATCTATTTATCCAGCCCTAGGATGTGAAGCATCCACCATTTGAATCTGCCAGCCTTAGCAGTATTATTCATGACAGTGCTACTCACTGGGGTGAGTAATATGACTGAAATCAGAAAGAAACCCCTATTTATGGCCAACTGAAAAGCTAACCAGAGTAGGGAGGATAAAAGCACATCTTGGCATGTGGTATTTGAGGAAAAACTGCTCAGTATGACCACTGCTAACATTTATTTCTCACTGTTTTCTGAATTGGGCCCTAAAGGCAGCAAATACATTGTGGTCAATGATTGACCTGACTGAGAAATTTGCCTACCCTCACTCTGGCCCATCTTTTTGATCACAGGTTTATTTAAAAATGAGAGAAGCATAATCTTCATTTTAACAGATTATAGGTTGTTATTTGGAGCTCTGCACTTTCAAACAAACATAATTTTTTTAAAGCATGCCGTTGAAAAATGTCCTGTTGCAATATTTATAGCTCATTATGTTCAAAGCATAAAGCATTGACTTTTAAATCAGTTGCATGAATTATAACTCAGCAGCATGATGGCATGAATAATAATGCAAAAAAAATCAGATTCATAATTTACAAAAACGATGCTTGATAGATTGAAAAATTGATATTTAAATCAGGTATTTAAAATGTATGAGTAGAAATTTTAATCAACACAAAAATATAATTTCATTGATTAATATTAAGGAGAGGTCTGTGCATTTTTTATGTTTTATAGTCACCAACCATTTTTACATGGTAAAAGCTTTTACAGTAAATGCATATTCAAGTTACATTATCTAAAATATAAGTAAGAAGTGCTGGATGAAAACTGTTGTTATTATTAATAAATCTTAAAATCTTTAAAGTCCACACCATAAGGCAACATATGCAGCGGGCTATAGATTGGGAGCAAATTCAACATCCCTCACTACAATTACAGATGATCAAAACAATCTGACGAGGCTTGAACATAAAAACACCCCAGCCAAAGTGCTACAGTTTATTGCTAAGGGAATACGTCTGGAATAATTTCACAGAATACTACAAAGTACTCTCTGATTAAGTGCAATGTACATATACACATACTCACACATACAAAAATAATAAATTCAAACACAAGCATGCACTTCAGAGTATGATTGTTATTACTAGGACAATTGAGTGGTGACATGGTGTCACACGCTGAAAACCAGAGCTGTAAATAGAGGAGATGTATAAATACAGGAGAAAGAGACTAAGTGACCTCAAAGATGAACCATATAAACACAAGACAGCAGATACATGCAAACAAAAAGGAAAAGGGAATTCAGAAATGAAAGATGCCTGGAAGAAAGGTCTGCTTCATGGGAGGAGTGAGAAGGAAATAGCAAATAATGAAGAGGAGTCTATACTCTGGTCTGCTAATCCAACTTGTACCCACTTAGTGCAGAGATTAATTTAGTTCAAGTCATATTACTGTGCTTTATACTCACATTGTAAAGCAACAAATTCAAAGTGCTGATAAATGTACCATTGTTCTCTCTTACAGAAATAGCAGCTGATGACCTACAAGAAACCAGAAACCAAAAATCATCATGAAGAAAGATACCTTATTTTTGTGTTTGCATACTTCAGTGAGTTTTATCATTAAAAAAACTCAATGAGTCATATCACAAGGAGTTAATTTATGCATTTGGGTTATAAACTTCAGAAACAGGAATTTATAGTGGAAATACTGACAGTCTTAACTATGCAGAAAATAATGGATGCTACTGGAAACACGAATCAGAAAAATAATTAGCAGAGGCAAAGTAACAAAAAATAACCCACTTTTCATAATGTACAATGTTTACTCATGCATATATTTTCTCTTGCATTCTATGTTTACATGCCTACAAACTATTTCATGAAGAACTTTTTTTTTTTGCTGCTTTCATTTTTCATCAGAACATTTGAATTTTAATGGAAGTTTTACATTATCTAAGGGTCTCTTAATAACCACAGCTCTTCATAAACTATGTTTTTTCATATAATGATGCTACAGAATTTTCTTTTTCTTTGTATCACCTCTTCTTTTGGTGCTTTTTCCTTTCCCTTTACTCTTGCACACCTAAAAATTCCTATGTTGACAGTACTGCTATGGCATGCACGTATACATGCTTACACAAACATGGCAATGAAGCACATAGAAATTAAAAAGCACACTTACGAAGCAAGTTGGGTATTGTTAACCAAGTACTCCAGTGGGTAGCTACAACTAAATTTGTACAGAAGCCCAGGCAAATAGCTGATAATTGTTGGTGGGTCTGGCGTATCAATATAGCCCGAAACATTACCTATCTGTATCACTGAGGTATTTCCATAAGCATTGATACCTCGAGCTGAGGATACCTATTGAGGGAGACAGAAGATTACTATTATCTGAAAGTTAACCATGGAACAAAAAATACTTAAGGACAGCAATGCTTTAGCTCATAATTTATCCAGAAATATCTTCAGTAAATCCTTCAAAACTTAATTTGGTTTAATAACATGTTCCCTGTGTTCGACTTTTCACCTCCCTAAAATCACGTGTGTACAGTTCACAAGCTATACCCCTGTTCTTAAAACAGACTTGAGCAACGCTTGAAAAAAATTATGAATCCTGGAAGAGTATTTTTTGGTAGGTACTTTTTCCTGACCATTCCCAATGAATTCACACGACTTACTGGGAAGAACTGAAGGAACTTTGCTATTATTGTTAAAAAATATTACCTTAAAATGAGCTTACATATACAATAGTAAGGCAAATATACAAGCAATTTCATTCACAGAAACAATATTCCCTCACTGTTGAGCTTTGGTTTTGACATATCATAAACAACATACTTTATAAATAGATACAAAATGAATAGTTGAACTTTGTGGCTTTGTTTACATTATACATTTCTAAATTACAAACTATAACCTGTCAGAAATTGCAGAGCTCAAAAGTAACATAAGCTTAATGCCAACACAACCTAAATTCAATCCATGGGCATGTGCTATTTTTGCTCAGGCTCAGAGAATGTGCAGAGCCAGCAATAACATGCAGCTGTCAAGAAAACTGAAGGACACTTTCCTTCTGCTAGCAGCCTGACCCGACTTCGTCTGTAGCTGCTGACTTGAATAGGGGGGTGGTTTGCTGTCTCAGTAGGCACATAATTCAGTAAAGTAAATTAACATGGCACTGGACTTCCACTGTAGCATTTCTTTGGTATAACTGTATTACCAAAACAGATATTTTCAGCAGCTTTAGAAAACATGGTTTCTTAAAAAGGTATTTCATTATGGAAGAATCATCCTGAGGTGCACATGAGTTATAACACTTTGCAGTAAGTAGCACAGGACATTTTTGATTTCTTCATCTACAGAAAATATACCTAAAAGACAGAAGCAGCACTTCACCAGTGGCTTACCTAATGATTTGCTAAATGAAACAAAAATGTAAAAAATCAAATTTTCTAAGATCTGTAGTTTGCCTAAAAATTATAGGCTAGATCACTGATGTAGTATAGACAACTACAGCTCTGTTTAGCTTCCTCATCACCCCACCCCCATAAAATAAAAAGTTGAGTCTGCTGTATCACAGACAAACCCGGGTTTTACTTGAGTTCTGCCTGAGCTGTTGTCTGTCCTTTACTTTTATTGAAAATTAGTTTGAAGGTCTTTACTGTGAAACACTGCCAAGAAATGTACAGGACTGTACTACTCCAGAGTAGGGAAGTAAGAGATGCTCCCTGCTCTTTTATCCTCTTTGTTTGGGGCACAGTATGCCTAAACAGAGAGGATGGGGGGAATTTTTGGTTATATTTTTTACAGCTGCTGCTTTGTCTTTGTATCCTGTGCAGCCTTGTGGGGAACTTCATGGGGAGCTCCAATTATTTGGATTTACCAGACTAGGTTTGTTTTGTTTTGTTTTTTTAAACATCAAGCTCTTATGATTATAATTAAATGGCAAGTTCAGAGAGTTTACAATGTGACCAACTACACAAGAACAGGAAGAAGTTGCTTCCTAGAAAATTATTCTAGTGCAAGTCATGGAAGTGTTACGGTTTTTCAGTGAAAATGGGAAAAGAGAATCTTGAACTTGGCAAACTGTTCTTTTGTTGAAATTTTAAAAGAAAACTCAGCCTAAGGCAAAGGGGTCACAGAGCATATCAAATATTTCAGCCCATTTTTGGCACAATTAGCAACAAAACAGGGGGTTTGTTATAAAAACTGACAGGCATCAAGTGCAAGTATGAATGCCAGATAGAATAAAAGTCTTAAAAATAATATATTTCTACACTTGTTATTTTAAGTTACTCATAGGTATTTTGATACAAAGTTGTCACTGCTTGTTCAACGTGATACACACAAACTGTACAACTCTATTTCTGCAAAGTCTAGGCATGTTCAGCAAGAGTTTTAAAAATCCCTTGGAAAAATCTCATTTTTCCATAAAAAAAAAAATTAAAATTAGACTTTCTAATCAGTGAATAAATGTGTCCCACCACATTTTCTTATTAGTAATCAAGATTATAAATTATCAACTTTCTCCACTTTTCTTTGATGTATGCAATATATTGCTAACTGGGTAACACAAAGTATCTATAAAAGATACAATGCTGTCAAAGACATTCACTGGATCCTATGCATAAATAGCCATGCTACAATTTCACTTGGACTATATCTTACCACTAAAGTGTTTCCACAGGATTCCAAAGTACTCAGATTGATGATGAAAATGACCACTGCTGGAAAGGTGTTGTTATTGATGAAACCCCTGCAGTGGGCATCCCCATGTTTCCCATTCAGTGCCAGATCTGTCTCAGAATAACCAGAGAAAAGAACTGTGCAAAAATTTATCTTCATAGTTATTGTCTGTACTCCACAGAAAACATTGATATCTCGTTCAGCTGCAAGAAAAATACAGGGAAAGACATTGTAAGAAGATTTCAACTAATCACACGTAACTATTGTAGCAGTTAATCTAGCATTGTAATTTCCAGTCAAATAAACTTTTAGACCTCAGTCACAGCAAAATATTGGAATATAAAGGTCAGAATTGCATTATTCTGGAGAACAGATTTGACTCTACAACTTAACTTAAAAAAAAATAAAATTAAAATAGCAATATAGTCTACCGTGCAACAAAACCATTATTCTAAAATTCCCCCACAAATCTTTTAGTAGCATGTTCATGAACTGAAGCATTGCAATAGAGTAAAAAACAGCAAGTGGTTACACATTTGGAGTCTGATTAAACAGCTCCCTTCTGGAAAAGAAATTTCCAGTGATTTTGAGAAATTTGGGAGGTAAAGCTCTGCCTTCCAGTCCCCTCTGGCATAAAGTTGGCTACATTTGTCTAAGGTTGTCTGGAGTCCACTTTGTATGAGATCACAATCTCAGACCGTGCAGACTTTGAAGTACAATCATCAGTTTATCAGAGCAATTTATTACAAACTTTGTCAAGTTGGGATTTTTATTATTGTTGGGTTTCATGGTTTGTTTTTTAAGAACCATCAGCTTTAGCTTTGATGAAAAATCAGTTGGCTCTTGAAAGATGATGATCAATACTACAAAGCCTCTTGCGATCTTTCATTCTGTAGATAATGACAACACAAAAGCAGCAATTGTTAAAATTTATCAATTTTTGAGCAGCAAAAAAAAAGTCTTGGGTGAATTAAACTTTTTATTCAAAAGTTCTGAAGATTGTTGTGTCCTGAAAGGAAAAACAACATGTTAGGATACAGGCAAGAGTTTGGTTTGCTTTAGAGCTATAACATGGCTTTTCTGCAAGGTCTTCTTTACCCATAGATGGTTGGGATGCTGCTCTGGTGTTTTCCTCTAGTGCTTTACAAAAAGACATACTGCACTGTGTTAAACACAGACATTACTCCTTTATGTAACAATTAATTTATTACATCTGCCTGAAAATTAAGTGCTATTAAAAATTGCAGAACAACTTCAGTCAATACTATACCATTAAGACTGCTGGAATGAATTGTTTAACTGCATTGTCACAACAGAGAGGAAATGAAATCTCCATTACAATGAACTAGTTCTTCCCCCATGGTACAGGAGGACAAACAGTTTAATCTAGACAGCTTTAATGGTGGCTTTAAAGCCAAAAGAATCAAGTGCAGGAAATAACTGGGTATAAATTTGTGCAGACAGGTACTGGAGGCAAGACAGAAGTTGAAGTGATTTCGTATGAAATACTCCTGGTTTGTACATGATCATAATCCCACTAATATAACATACAAAGATCAAGAAGCAGCATGCCTTGTTTTCCACTACAGGAGGACCATTATGATCCATTTAATGAGTATACTAAGGTAGAGGGACCAGTACAAAAAGGCAAATGGCAAAGTGTGCATTTATGCTTACTTGGACCAAATACAGAAGCAGTCAGGTTGTAACAAATTGCAGCATTTAACATAAAGTAGTTCAGTTAATTTTATAACTCACTTCAAGCCTTTTAAAAAAGCAGGATATTAACTCCACCAATTAAGTTACCATTACCACTTGCAAAATTATCATTTGACACTATGGGAAATGAGGCCATACAGTACAAACACAATTTTTTGTGTGATACAGGGGGATAAACAACCTTTCCAGACTGAACCTTTTCTGCCATCTACTTCACAAGGAAGCATGGCTGCCAAATTAGTCCATTCTGGAATGGAAATAAATGGAAATAATTTCCATTCTGGAAATAAAACATTTTTTGTTCAGATATTAATCTGAAACCAGGCACAAACAGATCTAATGTCTCTTTAGATGCTAAACACCTAGCTCATTTCTTGTCAATTTGGAAAGGTAAATATTATTCCTAAATATGTTAAAACAAGTCAACTAAAAAAAAAAAAAAAAAAAAGTATTTGTATTCCTGCACTAAAATCTTCTGGTTTTCTGAGTAAGAGAGGAATAGATGGTTTGAAGGTTACGTCACCCACCTGATGAAGCCTTAAATACAATGACCTCTATGTCACAGAGTTTCCATACAAGCAAACCACTTGATTTCTTTCTGACTCAAATCACCCAAGCCACCTACAGCCAACAGTACTCACGGATGTGTCACAAGCAAAACAGAGTAAAGTTCGGGAGGTACATAGATACTACAGAGACCATCTTGAGTTAAGGACAGACACGTGGTGATGAGACAAATCCTGGGAGCTCCACTGCCTCCTTTTGCTGTGGTACCCTTCCACACATTGCCAAGGCTCACCCCAGAGCAGGCAGAAAAAAACTTCAGAGGACAGGAGTTTGCCACAAAACACTATAGATAAAACTCATTCCAGCAGAGGAGTCATGCAAAGGCACTTATAGTTCAAAATCAGCTTCTCTGCATTTGCTTCCTGTTTGATCAAAGCACTGCTTTGATATTGAATTAAAATACATAGTGCATTTTAGTGAAAAAGGTGCAACATTTCTTAGTTTCTGCTAAGTTCTCAATATGTACTTACAACAAGAGCCCTCTGAATCAAAATTGCATTTCCCAGCTAAAGACAGACTGCTATGGTTCCATCTCCCAAAAGCCTTCTAAAAGCTATGCTTTACTGCAATGCAGAAATAAAGTCTTTTTCTCAAGGTAAACTCTCTGAAGGATGTGTTCTTTAGAACCCATCTAGCTTTTGGCATAAGAAGTCACTGAATTTTCAATCTTCCAAATACAGGGATATTTTTAATTCATTCCTGCTGGCTATTGCTTACCTACACTCTAAAACAAACCTGCACAAACAGAAGTCCTGTCTGATTGTCATCCTATTTATGCAGCAGCATTCCTATGCAAGTCACCAAAGCAATGTATGATAAAAGAACAAACAAATGAAAAATGGATGAGCTCCATGGTTCCTTTAGGAAGGCTTAATTTCTCCTCTTTGCTGAAAACAACTTCTGTTCTTAACAACATTCAAAGAAAAAGAGCAGGCAACTTCAAAACCCAATGGCTTCTCCTGTATCTGCACACCTTTCTTGCCCCATGGCTGGAATTCCCGTTCAAGGCGATGAAGATTCCTTGTGAGGAACAAATAAGGAACAGGAAGAAAGTCTACCCATAACCAGATTCTGTGGGTACTATCTCAGCCTGAGGAGACACTCGTTCCAAAACATTCTCCTTTTTGATCTCTCTCTCACCTTTCCCCCTACATTTGGACTCTGAAGGCCCTGAGGCAGCTGCCTCAAAGCCATAGTGTGAGCCAAGATATGGGGAAGCAAGCACAGGAAGAGTGAGGCCCTCTTTCCTGCAAAGATTCTCTCACCCGTCTTCTGAGGTTCTTAAACTCAGAAAAATGAGTTCCAGTAGCCTCTCAGCTCCACTAGCTCCAGCCCATTACATAGCAGGCCCTTCCATATATTGAATATAATATCTTCTAAATTTGGGAACAAATGGGTTTTCTGGTTTTTACTCCCATCTCAAATGCATGACTAATAAACAGAATTATTTTTCTTTCCTAGCTCTCAAAATCAGCACTAAGACTGTTGATTAAAGTCCAACTTTTGAATCTTTACTGCCCGAGATGACAAACAAGAAAAAGTAGGACTCTGCTCTAAGTTCCTATAGGCAGTGAGGAGTCATTAGCATTTCCTCTAAAAAAAAAGTCTATTTACTTGTAACCTAAACAGATTTTCTCCCAAGTCACTGAGATTTGGCAGACATGGAATCTGATATGACCCTTTTTTATGAGGCAGAACTGCAAGAGGCCCCTAAATATCCACAATAAGAGATTAATTCAATTCACAGGTGTTGCATTGCAAATAAATGTTGGCATAGGGTTGGTGCAAAAATGACCAGAGAAAAATTTTAAAAAATGGAAAGAGGAATCTAAATATACCTCTAGCTGTTGTAATCCTCTCAAGAAGCCAGAATAATAACAAAAAATGACCCACAATTATATAAAACAACTTAAAAGGTAGATCTGAGACAGGTGGGCACAATTCACCCACACATCTGAGGCAAGCCTAGAAAAGTTGTTGCTAAGAAGGGAAATATATAACTAGCTTGTGAAATACTCAGTTAAACAACGATTTTCTCAGGAATGGAGACAATATATTTGATCTTCTTTGCATGTCTTATTTCTCTGTTCTTCATATTCATATTGATTAAGTGGAAGAAGGTTAAACCCACTGCTGGTCTTTATGTCAACAAAGCATCTAGCAGTGTGGTGGTAACAAAGGAAAACAAACACACTGTCTGCTTTCTGATGACTGAAGTTTAATAAAAGAGCTGACCCTTCCTGGAAAAAAAAAAAAAAAAAAAAAACCAACACCATCAAAACTACTATTATTCAGCAAGCAGCAACACAAAAGGTATTACAGCATAATACTATACTGAGAGTTCATTACTAAACTATTCAATTCAATTGCTATCTCAGAAAAACAAGATGTGACAGAGACAGCATTCCAGTATTCAGAGCCATTTTATTACTATTATTATTCTGTTCAAAATACAACTTGAAGCAGGAAGGATAAGCAATGTAATAGCGACTAAAAGGATGCTTTAGCTGAATAAATCCTGATACACATGTCACTAAGACTGACATTTCATTTCTATTTCTTATTGTATTAATAGCTCTGAACATCCAATATCCAAAAAATTACTTAATTTCCATTTACTTAGAGGTAAGAGCATACATCATACATAGACATAACCCATTGCTTCACCTGTCCCTAACCAAGCACTTAATGTTGAAGTGAGGCACTAAATTTTGCCCACTGTGTAATTAGAAGAAAGTAAACTGCAATATTAGAGAAGTTCATTGTCACTGAGACAGTCAACACTCACTTAACATGAAGTCCTACCCCCAGGCTTCAGACAGATTTAAAGCTCTGTATTTAAAAATAAGCACTGCTTTGAACTAAGACAATAAAGACACCATTAGAAAAAAGTCTATTAAACACTTACCAGGAAACCTGCTATGGAGGTTAGCATCACAGTTGTATCCATTGAACTGAGCAGTCACTGAAAGCACTTTAATCGTCAGCAGGAGCAGCAACCATACCTGTTCCATTGCAAAACCTAGCAAAACATTAAGTGGTTATTACACACATCTGTTCAGTGCATTATAGATGCTTACTGCAGACATTTAACTGCTCAGGAGGTGATGGTCTCCAACAAAGGAACTGGGGATAAAGCTCACAAACTTATGGGAACGAGGTCACAGACAGCAGGGCCCATTTCTCTACTTCTGAGTTATGTGTAATTTGTATTAACTTCTACAACTTTTAATCATAACTTGTCGCAAAAAGAAGACACTCAAGGATGATATAAAAGAAAAAAGAATCTCTAAAATATATTGACAGATGAGAATTGATTAAATATTTAAACTCCAACAGCTTTTTTGACATTTCTGTGTAAAAATTACCTAAGAAAGACATCTTGGCTAAAATAAAACTATTGTTCTAAGTCCTTGAAAACCATACAGATAAATGGTTTGCTGAGCAATTCTCAGACTCAAAGTCCTAGAATAAAAATTAGCTCATATCTATTTGCCAAACATTCATTCTTTGAAGCACACATGGAATTATATTGAGCTTACATAATGAGCTGCTACAGATACTTGCACCTACTTGAATTGTATCTGGAAATCAGATCAGGAGATCAGAATACATGAATTTCTAGTGTTTTGAGTAATTATTCCTTCTGGGAGGATATCTCCAATACCTGTAGAATTTAGTACAACCAAAAAAAATTTCTGATATATGCTTTTGTCAAAAATATCCCAAAATATTGAGATTTTTGTCCATGAATCCAAGTGCATTGACTTTTATTATAATTATTATTATTATTATTTTATAGGATTTTGTCATTCTAGAGAATACATCTGATCTGCTTACGTAGACCCGACGTGTGGCAATGGTCTCCATTTGCCTTGACAGGAACTGAGCCATTCTAAGAGTTAGGTTTGCTGCCTCTAAGACTGCAGATACAGATATGTTGATCATCACCTTTCTCCAAGTGCATAAAGAACATTTGCAAACTCCAGAGATGAAGCACCCCTAAATGCATCTGTATCTGGCATGGTAAGGGGCTGTCATGCACTGCTGAGAAGAGCTGGCAACTGCACATGGAGAGAACATTTGAGACAAATCCTCACTCTTAACTGAATCTTTCATGGCTACACAGCAGTCTGAGCTAAAGTCTGCTCAATAACAGAAAGGTTTTCACTAGTTTTCAAACCATGTTTACAGAGTACACAAACCTACAATTTAATGCTTTGTGTTGAAAGATAGATCCTTAGAGGACACTCCCAAAGTAATTTGTCAATTAACAGATCAACTACAACTGAGTCAAATTCTTCTAAAAAGTCAAGGGTGTGTCCAAATGTACAGGCACTGATTCCTGTGTAAGTCTGCTTAGAAGCCTATGGAATAAAAATTCAGAATTGAAAACACCATCTTCCTGCTAAGTATGCATGTTTCCTAAGTCAGGTATGACTTTTGCTGTCTATCACATCCAAAAGCAGTTTTCCCACCAAGTTCTGCACAACTTCCTTAAAGTGTGACTTACAGCAAGAATCCAACCTCCTTTTAGTTTCAGGTAGATACGAAACTCTAAGCAAAAGCACTTTTTGACCCTTTACTCTTTTTCCATTAGACTCCTGTGGAGGTTGGCAGAGCTTGAAGCTAATGTTGAAGAAGAACTGTGAAACCATAAGAAAGAAAATAAAATTTCTAACTGGGTTGTTATGAAACCTATGTATTTTCATGATCTTCTCACCCCCTCTATTTCTCTCAGATGGAGAAGAAAAGTAGTGGGTTTTATGTTTGTTTACTATGAAAATTCATATTTTATTTTGAAAAAAACATTTTATACTTCAGAAAATTGGCATTTCTCCATTGTCCCGGAGCCTTTCCTCGACTCGTACAGTGGTTACATCAATAAAGTGGCAATTACTGTTCTTTGTATACGGTCTGGTTTCTTATGTCCATTACAATGGTATATATTAAAGGCAATTTACCAAGATCTAAATCTGACTTCAATTTTCTAACATCCACAGTGGGTTTTTTACTAGCAAAAAAAAGCTATTTGAAAAGAATTTAATGAAAGATGCCACTGACAAAGTTGTAGTTATTATTTTAGATGAAAAGCAGAACTTAACAATGAATTCTAAAATTTTAATTATTAAACATAACTTATGCTGCTGCATTTTGGAGAAAGAAGAGATGATTGCTAAGGAACAAATCTGAATTAAGACATTAAGTATTTATAGCATTATTTCTCTAGCTGTATTCAGAACAATTCAGATTTTAACACAACCAATAATGTCCTACCTGCCTTCTGGCTATTGACTTATCTGTAAATGGATCAACATGCAGATCCACATCACCAGCTCAGCTGAATCCTGCTGATTTTTGTTAAATAAGTTAGGAACAGGCATTATTTTTCATTTCTCAAGAGAACTGCAGGGCTAGAAAGCACCCTGAAAAGCCAACATCACCTGTCTACCCACCCCAGCAAGAATCAAAGCAGCCATTCCTGCTTTTCCAGCCTGGTCTTAAAGGCCTCTGGCAAGTTATTTCTCAACAAAAATTTGTAAATTTCAGTCTCCCAAATGTATAAGGCATCCTAACCAAAAGATTTGTACCATATTCATACTGTTGAACATTTCATCCAATGAAAGAAGCATAAAAGCTGTATCAAAATAGTAACAGGAACATCATAACCTTATTGCCTGCTTATGAGTATGAAATTTAAATTCCATTTACAAAAAAATTAAAGATAATATGCAAGTCCTAGGAATGGGGTGATTTATAATCCAGGAGTCAAATTCATGTGGAAGATATTTGTGCCCTTTTTTCTTCAACTTAGTATGTAATTCTTTAAGCCTTTTTCAAGGAATACTGCTCTTGGTGCTTTCCAAAAATGGGCTTCTTTGATCCAGTAGCAAACATCCTTGGCTATTAAGGAAACTTCCAAGATTGCAAAGATGCCAACACATACAGCAAGGGAAATGTGACCATCTCTATATAAACTCTCAACTGGCAAACCCATATCAGGTTTCACTGATGTGCCAAGAATCAGATTCTGTGCTGCATATCTTTGAAGAGTAAAGAGAGGTCAGAGTTGCGACATGCAGTCGTCAATTTAATTGTTATCACTTTGCAAAGCCCTCATCCCTGCTTTGATGATCTTCACCATGTCAGAAAACCTGCACAGAATTTCCAAGTAAAGATGTTTATGATTTAAACAAGACAGGTTTTAGCAGTCAGTTTGGGAATTTAATTCCACAGAGATGCCATGGTTTGACCTATCTAAATTTCCTCTTCTTTCCTCTCTCATGACCTCATATTCATTTCTCTTTTTTCCCATCCTCTCTAAAAAGCTCTTCAAAAATTTTCCTTTGTCAACAGCATTCACTGATTCAGTCCTACACTTTTATTGAAATTCATTTGTGAGCCAGTTCTGACTTCTGAGTATATTACTTATTTCAAATATTTATCATGTACTTTATGAGAACTTCCTGTAATGCCCTGGTTATTCTTGATTTCTCATTCACAGGGTGTGGCAGTTCTGCAGAATAATATGGTGATCTTTGTGCCTTCTGACTGGATAAGTCTTTCATAAAAACAGTTAATAGCAATAACAAAAACTTCTCAAAGAAAATTGTATATGTGATAAGCACATAATAAAGCTGGTGGAACATTTATAAGTGTTCTTATATATATATCTAGTAACTGCCTAAATGTTGTTTAATGATAACATTAGATGTCTACAAGTAATGGAATAGAAGCATTACTTCTGCTCAAAAAAATAATTTCAAATTATCATTACATAGTTCAACAAGTACTTCTCAGTCATCTCAAGACAAAATAGTTCCTTATCTTTTTGATTTACATTCATCTTGCTGCCACACTTGCTTTTGCATGTGCACTCAAGTTGTGAATAGTTGTGAAGTGCATTAACTGAACCACTGTCAAGTCTTCCAGAACCACTTTGCCCCTAAACACATACTAGATCTTTTGCCACCGCTTAAAAGTGGTCTAGTGAAAAAAAAACCAGAAGAATACCTCTCCACCCCAAGTTCTTCAGTGGAACTTTCTCTTTTAACTTGTACATTCCATTGCAATGAATTATCCAGATCGTTTTCACTATTGCCTCCCACATTATCTCCTTGGATCTTCCCATGCAGATAAAACAGGACTCGGATCTTTACAGTAACTGTTTTGAAGACAGGACTACCAAAAAGTGATAATTGCCTTTTTTCAAAAGGCTTGTTACAGAAAAAAAAGGGCATCTGAGATTTAAGACACATTTAAGACACATTTCAACTATAACATTTCCTTCTGCTTCAAACACAGCATATCTTTTCTTGCAGATTTCTGTGATTTCAGGCTCCATAGTGCCATTCCATTCATTTCTGACACCTAGCAAAACCTGAAAAGCTGAAAAAATAAATATGCACTGACATGCACACACACACACACACATATATACATGACAAATATACACACACAGAGGCACACATATGTATCTTGAAGTTCAGCAGTTTCCCAAACAGAGGAATAAAGCTGATGATGGAGCCAGGCCTGTGAGCAGATTGTATGTTCCCAAAATTACAGTATTTGAGGGCTTACAGCACAGAAATACAACAAGTGTAATAATTTGACACAGATGAGGAAATAATAAAACTAAGAATATCAGAAATCAATGCGCCTCAGAATGTACAAAGAGACCTGATTTTTTTTCCCACCACAAAATAGGAAACTAGCTTTAAATATGTAAATAATTTCTCTCTTATAGCTATTCAGAACACAAAGAGCAGTTGCAGACTACACAAGGAAGACCATGCATTACATGTACACAGGTAGTCAGACATTGAGTTGCCTTCAGCATCAATTATTTGGCCCTAGAATGACCTGTGCTTATTTGCTAGTCATATATTTCCCCTCAATTTTTGATATTTAAAAACAAGAGTCCTGGATTAGCTTCATGCTATACCAGATTTGTAATTAAATGTTGGGTCAAAGCTTGGAGCCTCTCCATAATCAAAATTCTACCAGAACCAAACAGCAGCTTTACCTGAAAATTTCTAAATGATAGCTGAAGTCTCAAAATCTAAATCTCAAATGCTTGTAAATCAAGCAGGTGCCCACAGTGTCCAAGGAAAATGAGACTGGGGAATAAATTTTGCAGTTTTCAAAAACCAATATACAAACCTTTTGCTTTGGTTCTGAGGTTTAAAAAATGCTAGTTTAAATTAAAAGAATTCTGGTTTATTTTCCAGTCTTTTTAGAATAATCTCTTTCACAGAATAAAAAAGCCAAAGGGTCTGAGAAAGCCGTTAATTTTCCACAAAAGAAAGCCAAATCAAAATCATTAGACTTTTATCTGAAAGACTTCAAACTCTGACCAGCACGCTGCATGGGAAACTGATATTCAAGACCATAAAAAATTTATATGGAAGCAATCCATAGTGTGCTTATGAATTGAAATGAAACAATGACTCTAAACTCTGCTGAAAACTTAGATCTCCTTCCAAAAGGCATAGCTCAGTATTTTTTGTGAATCTTATTACTGGTAGTGAGAAATAAATGTGTATGTTGGGTAAATAATAGAAGTCTTCCAGCCATGCAGTGCTCTTGAATCTATAGAATCAGGTGTGCTTAGAGAGATGTGCACTAGGTCCGTCTGGAGCTTCATCTCATACCCTCAGACAGGCAAAACTCCAGCTGAGACTGTTTTTTCACCTGCCTAATGACTAGGGAAATTTAATTGGTGTACCATACTGCCAATAAGCTGTTAAAAAATTACATTTTAATGCTTCAAAATATTCATTAGAAAATTTACACATTGTACCTTAAGTATACATGTCTGTCTGCATTTTTACAACAAATCCTTGGATGCACTGAGGTTTTATTAATCTAGTCTGAAAAGAAACTAAGTTAACTGCATATTTATAATTGAAGAAGAGAAAGAGTGATCAAGTGGAGAATAAGACTATATTTATACAAAGCAGTTAATATCTTCTTTCAAGGAGACAGACTATTAGGGAAATAAAGTTATCAAAGCATATATAAATCTAAACAACCGTTTGTTGAACAAGCCAGAGTTACTAGAGTTAACTCATTCACTTCAGACTGTTGAGGTTATGGAGCAGACTGTTTAGCTGCTATTGTGTGCTAAATATCAGTTATTCTATCTTTTCCTGCATCCACTAGTGAAATACTAACATTGTTCAGATGTGCTGCTTTCCCCTCACACTATTCCATATTATTTTTACAATAGCTATGCTTAGTGATGGAATAGTTGCATTTTACTTTACATATTGCCTGAATATTTGCTTTGCAGTCCCACAAAGGTGACTTCAATAGTGTACATATATCTCTCTTCCAGATAATTATTTTAATGATTCAAGGAAACGTTAGTGTTTTCCAAATCACGCCAATCACACCACACAATAAAGGTTCCAAATTACATACCTGATAGATAAACTAAAAATTTAACTCTCTGTTTGAAATTATGTTCCTAACTCCATGTTTCACAGATACCTCAATAAAGTGTGAAAACACAAATTAGCTTTAAGTTCCACATATAAAAATGCACAGAAGGACACCTCCTGAACCTCCCAGAAAAGAGAGTGATCTCTATTCTGTT